TTTCCCTACTGTCCGTTTGAAACTGTCTTCATCTGTGGTCTGGTGGTTGGTGTATTGTGGTGGGAAGTCAGAGGGTCACAGGTTGAAGTCAGCTTTGGGCTGGGGGTCCTAAGAGCCTAGTCCCTTTGCAACAGCCTTAAATACTCCACTCCTCAGGCTCAAATATGGGAGGTCCTGTCCTGGACTTATCCTCAGGTATTCACAGGCATAGCTCTGCACATCCTGTGCCAGGTAGAAACTGGAAAGGACCATGCTCAGCAGAAGGAGAGTGAAGCAGAGCTCTACACAGCCATCTTAGTTACGAAAGATGACGAAAGGAGGGGATAGGAGCTCTGGCTGTCCACTCTGCGTGAGGTGTGCATGCTGGGAGATGACACTCAAGTCCCCCATTCCCTCCCCTTCTCTAGTGCCAGTGTGCGACTTCCCGCCAGCAGTGTCAAGCTGGAAGAGAAGCTGGAAAAATACGCTTCAGCTGCACAGGTAATGAGGGAGGCACCCTCAGCTGGGTTTGCTCTGAGGTGTGTGGATTCTGATCAGGCGTCCTGCCATGCCAGCTCGGGGGGGTTTAAGTGTCTGATCCTCTGTGCCTGGTCAGAGAATGTGCCCTGTCTGACCTGGGTGAAGAGAAACCATGGGGTGCAATGTTGAGAGGGGGAAAAAAATTCTCTTACCAAGTGCAGATGGCTAGGGATGTGGGGGAATGGGGACATAGGCTTCCCCCAGCAGGTACGTGTTGTATGCATGAACATTGGCTATCCAGTAGGCAGCAGGCCCTCCATCTACTGAGCAGGGAGCCAAGCTGAGGAGCAGGGCTACCTTCTTCCCCCTGCTGAGGGAGGGGTATGGGGCTCCTTGGAGATTAGCCTTGGAGAGACTAGCCAGGAGCCCCAGCAGCTGGGGCACAGAGCTGGCCCCTTCTGAACCCCGCTCCCCCTCCCATCTGTTCCTAGCGGTCTGAGCTGATAAAGGCACCCACGGTCCCCCAAAGAGGTTTCGTACCATCATTGGAGAGTGTGGCCAGCAAGCGCAGCATCTTCGAGGCCAGTGCCACCAGCAGGGCTGATCAGGCTCCTGCCAGGAAGGTAAGGGCTGGGGTGGGACTGGAACATGTGCTGGGTATGCAGGGTTACTATATTATATTTCCAGTTTCAAAAAAGAGGACACCTGTTGAGAGGTGGAAGGGGGAGGTATATGATTGTGGGGGTTTGGTGATATGCCAGTGCCCTGCTTCTGCCCATGCCGTTGCCCCTCGCTCCCAGGCCACAGGCCCACCCCAAGCCCTGCTGCTGCCCCTCACTCTGGACCCACAGTACCATGACCCCCTGGGCCATGATGGTGCTCCTCACTCCCGACCTGCAGCTTCCTGGAGCTTCCAGTGCCCCACACTCCTGACCCACAGTCTCCCATCCCCCTGGTGCCCCTCATTCCCAAGCCACAGCCTCATCAGCTCTGCTGGTGCCCCTCACTCCTGACCCGCAACCCCTGCACCCCACAAGCCTGCAGCATCTCCTGGCTGCCTGCACCTGCAAGCAAGAGCACCAACCCTGGTACTCCAGCCAGGCCACACAGCTCCCTGCTGCCCCTGATGGACCGCCCCCCCTGCTCCCTTCCCCCACTGGAGGAGCAGGAGCCTCCCCCCAACCCCCTCTGTCCTGCTGCAGCTCCAGTGACTGAACGGCTTCCCCCAGCACTGGCAAGCACCCATCCCTTCTGCACACCCCCGCACACATATATATACACATATACACATACACAGACTCACATGCCCCACACACCCCCCAGAGAGTCCCCAAGCCCTGGCCCACCAACCCCTGCTCTCCATAGACTTACCTGCATCCAGCTGCTGGAGCTGCTCCTACCTGGCTGCATGCCGGCCACGTGTGTGCGTGCACAAACGCATGTGACACCCCCAGCCCCAAGCTGCTCCTTGCTAGGGCAAGCCTGGAAAAACTTTGATGCTGAACAGAGCAAAATTCATATTTTAAAAAACCACCTGGATGGAGATGGGAGGACCCAAAAAGAGGATATGTTTGGGAAAACACGGACGTATGGTAACCCTATGGGTATGGGGCTCCTGGGAGTCCTACCTCAAGCAACACTCTCCCTTCCCTGGCAGAACTAGTGGCAGAACCCAGCCCAGGCACTGAGCCGGCAGCAGGAAGGAGCAAAGAGGGAAAATCCTGCCCGCTCAGGATGCCAAGATGATACTGTCATGACTGCAGCCCAGTGGCACCCCTGGGCAGGGGCAGGGGCAGGGGCAGTTCCTTGCAGAGTTGGATGTGTCCATACCTTCCCCTCTAGCCTCAGCTAGCTACTGCTGAAGGAGCTTGCCAGGTCCTGTGGAGACAGCTGGAAATTCCCAAGCAGCTGCACTGCAGACAGGGAAGGAGAAAGTTGGTTTAGCCTCTCTGTGCTGGGGCCTCCTCCCCACGGGCCTCCTGCATTATGTGCATGAGCACTACAATCACTTCCCTTCATTTAGCAAGTGGCACTCTGCCTTGGGATCAGGGCTGAACCTTTGCCCTAGCATGGTGCCCTGGAGGTCTGGGCTACTGTAGGGGCTGTCCTGGCTAAGATCTGAATGGACGTGGGTTTTACTTGGTGATCGTATTCCTCACCTCTCACACTAAGCAGCAGTATGTTGTTACCCCACACAGCCATTCTAGCTCCTAGTGCTGCAGGTAAGGTCCCGCTGTAACGTGTTGATCCCCCTGTGCTATAGGAGAATTTGAAGATACCTAATGTGGTGTCATCCCGCATCAATCTCTGGATCCGCAGGACTCAAGAGCCCAGCAACGACAGTGGAGCCAAGGTACTGGATATGTGGATGCGTTGCACAAGAGCAGTGGTGCGATGGTGACATGGTGGAGCCAGGGGCCCTACATCATTACAGCAGCTAGGGCTGCATTATGTTGACCAGAAATTTTAATTCAAGGGGGAGTTAAAAGGGCCTATTTATATATAAGTGCTGGCCAGGGCATCAATAGAGTCTCAATAGACCCTTTTAGCACCTCTGACTTGAGGAACCAAATCATTGCTAGGGAGGGGCCCCTTGCTCCTGAGACATTACATTAATATCCCAAGCCAAGAGCCTCTGCTTTGTGGCCTCCTTGGAAAATTGCTCACTGACACTACGAGGGGGTGTAGGCAGCCTGTCATGAGCAACAGGGGCACCAGGGGAGGTGCCCGAGAGACTGTGTTCACTAGTCCTTAAGGCTCAGAGCTGGCAGAGGCCCAGGAGGGAGCAGCACTGTCCGTGTGCATCACAAACCAGCCCTGCTTTCCCCCGAGCTTTGCAAGGATCCCTTTGCAGCGTGGGATCTGTGCAAGCAGAGATGCATCATTGGGGCTCAGTAATATGCACATCCCTCATCCCCACAGGTGTGCTCCAGACTCAGCTCTGCCATGCACCACCTCCTGTCCGAGGCAGCTCCAGGGGTCAGTCCCTGTGGCTGTGAGACTGCTGGGGGCATGTGGCCCGGCTGGAAGTAAAGGGCCTGGCAAGCAGTTCTGGAAGCAGTAGCTGGTACATGGGCTCAGGGTGGCTCTCTGGAGGTGGTTCTGTGAAGTCTCCCCTGTAAACAGAGGATGCTACATGAGCATTTGCCTAGAAAGAAGGCAGTATGGACCCAAGAGATCTCTGTATCCAGCTTGATCGCAATTAGGGAATGACTGAGTTAAGGAGCGTCTCAGCCACCCACCTGCAGCTCTACCTCCTCCATCCTGAGGGCTGGGAGTCTCCACCCTGGGGTGTTTCTGGAGAAGCCTTGCAGTTACTTTGCCAGTTCTTCCTGTAAAAAGTGACTCCCCTCCAAACATCTCTTCCCACACTGGCCTTGTTTGGGCCCACACTGTTGGTCCTAACAAAAGAGACCAAATCTGCCAGCTGTGGTACTATAAGTCAGGGCTGCTTTACTCAGATCTCACCTGAATCGCTTGGGTCTGTGTGGATCCAGGTTTCCGGTTCAGGTGTGGCTCGGGGCAAAGCAGCATTGTAGGCAACAGCAGCAGCACTGCCCAGGACAGTGATGTGTACAACCTAAGACTCCTCTCCCTCCAGGACACCGGGAAAATGGATAGCTCAGCAAAGCGCAACCTCGTGACCAAGTGGCCCAAAGACTCTGCCAGCGACACCAAGGTAAGAGCAGAAGGAGCCCTGGAGCAACCTGAGCAATCAGTACCAGAGCTAGGACCCAGCCCCAGGACTGATCCTCACCCCCAGCAGCACAAAGGGGCACAATGAGGGCCTGATCCTGTCCCTTAATGGTTGTGGTGTGTGAGCCTGGCTTGCCTGATAGAGGTGGTGAGGCTGTGTAGGTGGATGTCAAAGTGGGGCCAATGCCTTTTGGAAGAGTTTGACCGGGGGAAGTGGTCGGGATCTTGCACAAGTGAGTAGATGGCAGCAAAGCAGGTGTCTGATCTGGGGAAGCATGGAGAAGATTGGGTGGGTGGCACCCACATGACTAAGCAGCACTGTGCAGGGTTAGGGGTTGCCATGATCAAGGCTCAGTGCACACCTTGGACCTGGTAGCCTAAGGCACAAACCAGGTGGCCTTCTCACAGCCTCTGGCCCAGCCTGACAACACCTCTGTTCTCTCCAGCTCTAACAACATGAGACGTTCTGGGCAAATCTCTCTCTGCAAAGATCATAGTCCGGCCCACCCCTACCTCCAGAATCCTTCGTGACCGTATCCAAGCTGCTGTTCCTGTAACACCTACAAGAAGTCTGCGTCTCCCAGAAGTTGGAAGACCCTCCTCCACTTCCCTTCTCTGGGGTGGGGGTTCAGTCTCCTGGTGAATTCTGCTTGGTGGATGGGAAGGAAGAAGGTGTGCAGGTTGTCACCTGAGCCCTGGAGTGGATGACCACACACATCTCTTGCTGTCTCTTCCAACTATGCTGCTTACCATATAGCAAAGCCCATCACGTGTGCTGATGGCACCAAATCTCTGCTGCCTCATCCCTCAGTAATGTTTCAGCTCTAGCTTAGTCACTGTATCTATAGTAGGATTAACCATATGCTCCATGCCCGGCAGCTGGACCCAGCATCTCACTGCGCTGGCAGGAAAGGAGGCCGTCTGGGTCAGCTTTACACCTTTAGGACCTTGTTTGAAAGCCTGCCTGGAATTCGTATGCTGGCAACTGGCTGCTTGACACTTTAGCTCACCTTACAGTGTACCCAGTACTGGTTGCACTGAGACTACCGCAGTAGTTGGCCCTTTGATGCTATCAATGAGGTCCTGAAGCCTGAATGCCTCTGCTCCTGTCCCAGGGGAAGTCCATGAATACCAGGACCAAGGCTTGCTGGTGAGCTGCAGGGCATGTGGGAAGCTGCCACTACTTGTCTTGCACCTGTTATTGAAGCAAAGTAAAGGATTTTCCACTCCAAGCCGCTGCATTGATTGACTTCAGGTGGCACATCTGGCTGAGGATCCTTCCTTGTGTCACTTAAACCCACATCCCAGCCAGGTCATGCATGTGCCTTGCACAGCCTCCGTACATTCCCACTGGAGAGGTGCCTGGCACTGTCTTGGGGATTAGTGTTCGTATTGCCTTCTGATCTGGTGTGGCAGGAACAGAGACTCCTGTAGCTCCCTTAGATATGGTGCATACATCATCAGAGTTGCTCTTCCCACCCCCTTGCAGCTGGGACCCTTCTATTTTAGCCATGTGGGGCCATACTTCCCCCAGAAATTATGAGCTTTACCTGTGAATCACTGCACCAAAAACTAAACTTGACCTGGGACAATTGCTGGGGAGCAGAGATCTTAGTTGAACTCTTCCCTCCCTTCCCCAAAGACTCCTTTAGAAAAGCTCCTGTTCTTGTTATTGCCCTCATCATACAGAAGGGAAAGGGTCTTTTTAACTGCTGTAAGGGGAAAGGCACAAAGCAATGTGTTTGAACTGCGGCAAAGGAGCACTAGGTTAAAACTCAGGGGGAAAAAACCCGTCCTTCCTATCAGAAGAGCACGGTGATGGAGCAAGCTCCCTTGGGAAGTTGTGGAAACTCTTTGACTGTGGATTTCTAAGAGGCTAGATGAGCATTTGTCTGGGGTGGTTTAGGGATAGTGCATTCTGCAGGGGGTTGGGTGACCCCCAGTGTCCCCAGTACCCTATGATTCTAGTTGATGAGGGGCTGGAACCAAAGCCCTAGCTTCAGTCACCCTGCACTGCTTAGCCAGACTTTGGGTCCTGAACTCATCTCTTACCTTTGCCCTTTCTGGAAGCAATGCTCTCTCTCAGGGATTAGCTTTAATGTGCTGTGCAGAGGAGCCACAGCAGGGAGCCCCTCGAACAGCACTGTCCAAACCCCTTAGTTTGGGGGCTAAGTATATGATCTCTGAAAGGACCTGGAGCCACGTGAAGTTTTAGGGATATGATGCTTTGGCTTGGGACTCTGCTAATTTGGCTTTGCCCTTTCCTCAGGTTCCTGCTAGATCCAATTTACTCCTCTGGCTTTTAAAGGAACATGCCTTTCATTTTTCTAATAAACATCATTTTCTTTAAGATGCTCATGGTCTCAGAGTGTTCCTGGGCTCCTTGGGGGATCAATCTGGAAGTCAAAAACTGCCTCCTGGAAAGAGACTCAGGGGGCATACAGCCTTCAGTCCAAGACCTATGGCAACTACTGCCCTGAGTATAAACATTACCTGTACTCTGATAGAAACTAGGTCTTGGAGGAAGTCTTTCCAGGCCCAGCTGGAGATGAGGATGTGCATGAGAGTCTCCTGAGACAGCTGGCTGCATGGGATTTGTCTGAACACCCAGGCCTGCAGAGACCTGCGAACAGCACCTTTGACTTGCCTGGGCCCTTTGTGCCTAGCACTGAGGAGGATGGTACCCCAGTCACAGGGAGCAACGTGGAAAGCAGCCACAAGCTAGGATACGTAGGTAGCCAGCCTACATCTCAAATCCAGGTCCGCCCTCCAGAGCATTTGCTTATCAGCATTCAGGCCACTTAAAAGTGACAGCTGACTGGCTTGTGTCAGCCCCTTGGGCAGTTGTGTATCTGTCATGCGAGTTTAAAATAGCAATTCTCTGAGGGCCATACAATAGCTTGGGCTTATATGGGCTCCTGGGAGGGGGGGCAAGGCAGAGTTACAGAAGGGGCTGTGGCTGACGCTGCCAAAATAGCAGCTAACAAGTGTTCACATTCCAAGCCCTGCCGTGCTCGCATGCCTCCAATCAGGCGTCTGGCCGGGGGTGGGGGCTCTGGAGCCCTGTTAAAGCCTCTCTCTCCCAAACGGCATTTCTCAGACACCGCGCCAGCTTCCACTTGGCTGCAAGGGATCTCACCTGCTCCCTGGCTGAGAGGTAAGGCACCTCCCTTGGATCCTGGCCCTTCAGCTCCATGGGGTTGATGGGCCTTTCAGTGGGACATTAATGACTGAGCAACCACTTATCTGCTCTGCCCCATCATTTATGCTCTAGGAAGGGTTTGCCTTGGTGTCTTAGCAAAAATGGCCCCTACAGTTCTCTTGCAGTCATCCCTGGGATGGGGAAGGGACTCCTCTGTAAGCAGCAGCTGAATCCCCATCACTAGTTACACACAGGTGGAACTTCATTGACTTTGAGTTCCTCCTAATGTGTACCTGGGTGAGCGAGAGGGCAGCTGTGCCCAGTGGATTCATTTCTGACTTGCACTAGTGTGAGTGAGAAGGAAATTTGGCCCAATGGGGTTATTCCTTTTCTGCCCTATGGTAAGTGTCAAGGACCTCAGGTCCAGTGCTTAGATTGCTTTGGGATGAGAGCAATGCTAGAGAAAGGCAAGATCTTGTGGTGTTGAGTCCCTCAGCTCATTGACAAACTGAAGCATGGAGCAAGTTTAGGGCACTTGTGCTGCAGACCTGGGAGATGTCCTTATGAACTGCTCAAGTGAGCAACAAGGCTGCATAGTGGTGATTCAGCAGCAGCAGCAGGGCCGTCCCTGGGGGGTGGGAATTGGGGCAATGGCCCCAGGCCCTGCATTTTGGGGGCCCCCACAGAGCTGGGCCGGCTTTGCATCCAGCCACATGCCTCCTCCCCCACTACTGTGTCTGGGCCCTGCACCCTGCTATGGTCATCTCTGTTCATCATGGTAGTTTCCATGAGCACTGCACAACTAAAACTACAGGGATACAATCAACCACTTAATCTCAAACAACATTTGGGGTGAAGTGATTGTACATGTAGGCAATCAAGTACTAACTGACCTCGCATTGGAGGAAAGCAGATCAGTGCTAATAAATTGGGCCCTCTTAACAGACAGACCCAAAAGGGTCACATGAACCATTAAATCACAGCTAAATTGGTGGATACCAGCGGTTTTCAAACTTCCTAAAGTGACAGAACCCTTCCATAGAGCTTCTTCTGCCAAGGAACTCCTACCCCTATCCTAACGACTGACATGGGGCCAGGGTCATGGCCCAGCAATGGTGGCACACCGCCTCCCAGCCCACTCTGCCATTACCCCCAATCTCTTTGCCAACCCCCCGATGACCTATCGCAGAACCGCAGGGCTCCAGGGAACACCGTTTTCAATCCACTGTTTCATACCAAATGCTTTATCCTGCTTTTATTTTTTTGTTTGTGTTCCAAGGACTTTCTTGAATATCTTCATAATTTGGAACCACTCCATTAATTAAAGTTCTGTGCAAACATGGTAATCTATGGATAATACATTCTCTGCAGTGAGCTGTTATTTGATCTTGGTGATTTGCGCTTCTTGGATGTGCAGATCACAGGATATGTTTCAGTGCATTGGTTAGATGTATGGCACTCCTTAGAATCAAGTTTCTGGCACAGATGGTCCAAAATTTGCGTTCCTTAAATATTCATCAGTGTTGACCTACAGGTGCAGTTTGCTGACACTCCTCCAGGAAATGGTGGGTTGGGATTTTGTGGCAAGTGAATACAAAAGGGGTGTCAATGAAGCTGGAAAGAATTTATTTAAAAGAAATGAACAGCATTTAGGGAATTAAATTTGCTCAACTCTCACTAAGATGGAGTCTTTCCTCTCCCCTGGCGAGAGAGATTGTACAGAGCTGGTTAATTTAGTAGTTGAAAGCTAGATTTGGGGGTGGGGGCAGGGCAGTTATGATGAGTTAAAGTTTCAGAGGCAGGACTTCAAGGTTAATTGGCTAATCTGCAAATGAGCGCTTGGTCATTTGGCCCGGGGTATCAAAGGCAATGAGATATGAAATGGGCCACATCACTCCTTTGTACCTCATTAACTACAGAAATTATTTAATCATATTAGCCTAACAAGCTCTCAGGCTTGGCAGGGCTTTTGACTTGAGACAAAATGTTTGACTAAAGGATGAGGACATAAGAGCCATCTATACCTATCTGAAGAATATAAACACCAAGAAGTGGCAGGAAATATTATTGCCAGTCCAAGAGGGAACTGCAAATAACAGAATGGAGTCAGGAATTTCAAATTTAGCTTGAATGTTAGGAAAAGCTTCCTACTGGCCACCCCTATTAAAATGTGTGATATAATTATGGCACAGTCTAAATAATAATGGGACTGACAGACTGGATGATAGGAAGACTGGCATACCTGGGTGTTGAGTTCCCACCTCCAAAGTCCCAAAGCGGGTGTTGGAGAATGCATCACTCTGAAGCCTTAAAATTAGATTGGGTTAAGTCCTGAAAGATGCACTCTGCTCCAGGAACCAACCATGCACTAGACTAAATGGTGTACTAGGCCTTTTCTCTCCTTGATGTGCGCGATTCTGGATTCATAAAGTTCTTTATTAAATTATTATAAAGCCTGTTCTATCTGGCACAAGCAAAAAATACCAAATGCATGGAGCCAGCATCAGCTGTTACAAAACATCTGATAAGAGGTGATATATAGCAGAACTGATTTGGGAACAGGTGCTTCTGCACATGAAAGTTATTTGTAGAACTGCCTGAAACTTTCCTTGTGAAACCCAAGTTTCACTGAGCCTGAGGGTTTGATTCAAAACTGAGCTTCTGGCTAGACTAAGCAGCAACTTCAAGTTTTGGGAATGTTTCAGTGAGGCAAAGTCCTGAGAGGTAGACAGGATTCAGGAAATGGTGTTAGATGAGGCTTGCTAATGGAATCTGGTGCGAACCCAGCAGAAATGGAGGCTTGAGTAGAAATTCACTGTGGAGTTTGCTTGACTGTGAAACACCAAGTGGAAAGGATTCAGATGGACTTGCAGACAGTTTGATGGTGCACGGTGGTATTGCCAGTATGCTATAATAGATGTATTTCTAGCTGTTCTTCAAATTGTTAACTCTGGGGTAGAACCAGATGCTTGGTGAATCTAATATCAGCTGTGGACCTTTAGCCTGCAGTGTCTATATTGCTCACTTCCCCATCCCCGCCTGCTGCTCTTTTCCTAAATGTTTCCTTATGCTGTATCGGTAGGCTTGAACTGTCTCTCCTTTAGGTCCTGAGACTTACTTACATGCCATGGTGATCAATAGTTTCTGACTATGTTCAATAGTACTTTGAGCAAATATAGAGACCAGACAGAATAGAGGCCAGGTTACTGAAGAGATCTCACACTCTAATGATAATAGTAATCTGCATTTCTATCCCACCTTTTGCTGGAGGAAATAATGAGCTAACTTTTGTAAGGTGCTTTATGGTCTCTATTTTATGGAAGTAGAAACTGAGGCAAAGAGGAGTTATGTGACTTGCCCAGGGTCATATAACAGGTCAGCAGCAGAGCCAGGAGTAGTGCCCAGGAGCAATGACTCTCAGTTCCCAGCATTGCCCGCTGGCTGGGTGTACTAGGGTAGACAGGGCTGAGTCTAGACACATCCCCCCTCCCAGCCAGAAACTGCTAAAGTCTATGAGTCTTTGGAAAGCTAGGACATGAATTATTACAGAGATTTCATATATTTTGTTTCTGAATAGTTGTGGGTATAAAATTGCAGGAGGCTTGAGCAACTGGTGACTCTTAATAAGCCCAAGACAGGGAGTTAAGAGCCAAGATAAAGAAAAAGGACACATCAAGGGAACAGCTCTCAAATTCAGGGTAGGAATGGCAGGATTAACCCTGATGTTCCCTGCAATGACCAAGTCATTTCCATGGCATTTCTTTGACTCCACAGAAGAATAACTTTTGGTTAAGCAGAAGCGGCACTCTTTAATACTAGGAACTTTAGGGCAGTAAAGTATTGCCCCACCCTCCACACAGCCCCAAAGTCTCCTAGCTGATCAGAGAAGTGGCTACGAACTGTCCACAGGGCTGGAGCTTAAAGTTATCGGTGCTGGGTGATGCTATTCCTAACCTCCTGACTCCTATTTAAAAAGAGCTTTGTTGTTGAGCCAGAGAAGGGGGAGGGTGGGCTCAGAAAACATTATCTCAACACTGCTGGCATTCAGGCTGACTTCATCCTAGGGACACAGAAATCCTGTTCTTGTATCTCTGATGACGAAGGGCTGACTGGGAGGCCATTTTCTTACTGCAGCTTCTAACACTCGCTCTTAATTCCTTTCTGGCAGATCACAGAACATGTCCGATTCCAGAGGAATCACTGAAGAATATG